AGAGGAGGGAGAGAAGAAGAGAAGAGAGAGGGAGGAAAGGGGAGAGGAAGGGAGAGAGGGAAAGAGAGAGGAAGGGAGGGAGAGAGGAAGATGGTACTAATAGGTTTTCCTCTAAGACTCATGATCTCCCCAGCATGGGTAGTTGGATAAGTTTACTGTACAACGTGTGAATTCCCTCCTATTGAGAAAAAGTCCAGTTAGACAGTTGTTACCCCCAGAAAGCATTATTGATGTTGCCTGGTCATTTTCATGGTTTATAGGCTTCACAGATGGGTAGAATTGTTGATTACTCTTCCTTGGCAGCTTGTATAACACTTTCAGATCTATGAGAAACAGTTCCCAAAGAGAGGTATTACAGCTTAATTTCTTCAAGTCCCAGTATCTTCAGTATTAGAGCCTTATCTTCAAGTTCTTGGCAATCTAGGGCATTGGTAATAGCCTATATTTAGAAAGAGACTCTTAGACACCCCCACCAACCCACAACTAGAAGGGATAGTTCCCATGTCTGACACTAGGAATTTTGTTAATCTATGTCTCTTGGGGAGGACATCATCCCACCATATTGTGTAAAATCATTATATATATATATATATATATATATATATATATATATATATATATATTACATAGTTATATGTACATACATCTGTGTATACTATATATGTAATTTTAAGTAAACATAAAATATAATGTTTTCTCATGACTTTTTTGCACATGTTTAATATTATTTAGCCTTTCTCTCTCCCTCTCCATCTATAATAACATCCTCCCCATTCCCAGTTAGATTTTCCCCTTTCCCTAATTTTTCTCATCTGCCCTTTATAGCACTCATGTCATATCTTTGTCTATAAAACTCCTTCCCCACACTACCTCAGGGCCCATTTTTACTTTCCTGGTATCTGTGGTTACTCAATGTTATAAACTTATATCCAAAGACTCTTTTAAACATCAAACACCATGTATCCTTCACTCAAAAATAACAATTTTGCAGCAGACACACTTGTAACTACTATTGGGCAACACTAAAAATTATAATTTTTGAACATTTTAAGCAAAGCCCTACATGTCTACATTAAAAAATCAAAAAGCCCACAAAAATAACTTGATGATGCAATTCAAGAAATTGGAAAAATAAGAACAAATAAAACCCAAATTCAGTGGGTGGAAAAAAAATGAAAATCAGTGCAAAAATAAATGAAATAGAAGCAGAGAAAGCAAGACAAAGAATCCATGAATGAAAGCACTGGCTCCTTGAGATATTAAACAAGACCGATAGACCTTTATCCACATTACCCAAAAGAAAGAAAGAGATGACCCAAATTATCAGAATCAAATGTGAACAAAACAACAGACACCAAAAAAGTCAGAGTATCCCATACTCCATTAAGTTAGAAAATCTAAAAAAAAAAAAAAAAAGGACACATTTCTAGATTGACATGAATCATCAAATTTAGACCAAGAAGAGGTCAACAACTTAACAAACCCTTAACTAATAAGGAAATTTGGAGACTAATAAAGTCTTCTGACTGGAAAAAATAAAAAATAAAAAAAAGCCCATCTCAGATGGATTCACATTAGATCTACAACCAATGTTTTGTAAATTATTGAGGTGGGGGAGAAACTGGCAAAGTACTTCCAAACTCCTTTTATGAAGCCAGTATTTCTCTAATACCTAAGCCAAGTAAGGATACAACCGAAGAAAGAAAAACGCCAGCCATTATCCCTGATAAACATATAAAGATTCCCAATAGCCGTTTAATTTTAATATTTCTATGTGTTGGTACTAATGTTAATGAAGCCTTCCCTGAGCAATGGTAGAGCCAAATCTCACACTCTGTCAAATAATAAAATATGAATAATCCTATTACCATTTACATGTCTTTGCTTGCCAAAATTTTAATCCTATGCAAAATTTAAATTAATGAAAGTAAAACTTGTATTTCTCATTAAAAAAAGTTTCCAGCTGTTATATTTTCAACAACATTCGACAACATTGGAAACTATAATAATTTTTGAATACTTGAAGCAAGAAACCCAATCATCTTTTTTTAAGTGCATAAATTCACTTAGTTGGTCCAACAACCTTAATGGGTAGAAACTTTTATTATTCATACTATATAGATAAAAAGCAGAGAAGTACAAAAATTAAATAAGAACTTACCCAAGACACCTAAAGAGTTGAGCGGGAACCTAACTAAGAGTCCATGCCATGAAATTGTAAGCCAAGTAAAACAAATCACTAGATAGGCAAGTGTATCTATTAAATGAATCTGGGACTTTAAAAGACCTATAAATCACAGGAATGAATATGGGTTATAATGTATGCAATTGTGCTGACTTACGTAAATCAAGCATAACTTTGGTTTATTCGTGATTTAACAAAACAGTAATTAATCTGGCAGTCGCTGAATATATTAATTCATGATCTAAGAAACACATGAAAGTACCCAGGGGGCAGTAAGTGGTAAAGGAACCTAGGATGGCTGGTGGCAGGGGCTTCAGGACAGGGCACAGAAGGGCCAGGAGAACAGCGGACCCATAGTTGAGGGAACCTGCTTCCCACCCGGAAGAAGACAGCAATCTGGAACGGACCGACCACTGGCGCCCAGAGGACCTGGCGTAGACTAAAAGGTGCGCTGTTGCAGGTATGTTCCAAGATCTTCCTGGGAGATTCGAACTCCAGTTTCCATAGATTCTTTCCCTTATACCTCTTCGAAGTGTCCTGTATTCCCACCGTTCTGTCCCATCCGCTTCTCTCACACCCGTGGCACTCGCCCGCACCCCTGCGTGTCTGTTGGGCTCTGAGGACACAGGGATGCTGCAGCAGGCCTTAACCAGGGCTCGAGAGCGAATTCTTACAGAGTTCAGAAGAAAGAAGCAGCAGCACCCTGAGTCCCACCCTGCTCCTGACACCTGCAAGGAGTGGCCAGGGCTAAAAGGCAAGCCCCAGGACACAAGTCAATAGGCTTGAAGTCAAAGAAGCAAATGAAACTATGGTTGGCCTGTGGACTTGGTGGAGGCTGAGCCTTGAAAGTCGTGCGCAGTAGAGAAGTCACCAAGCTCTGAAACGCTAGATCTTCACACAGCTTCACTGCGCAAAACCACATTTGTTGAAAGAATCTGTACCTAGGCATTGGTGATGGTGACACACATCTTTGATCCCCACACTCAAGAGACAAAGGCAGGTGGATCTCTGTGGATCTCTGTGAATTTGAGGCCAGCCTTCTAGTAAGTTCCAGGACAGCTAGGGCTATACACAAAAACCCTGTCTGGGGAAAAAAAAAAAAAAAAAGAATTGAATGTGACAGAGACAGGAAATAAAAAGTAAAGTATATTTTGATGTATTGATGTTAAGTTTTCATTTGCCCCATGATGGGGACTTCTACCCAGACCTCCACTATCACTGAGCAAAATCCTCAGTCATAGTTACAGATTATATGTTCTGTGAAGGAAAAAAAAATGTAGACGAGGCTCAAATTCAAATGCATTTAAGTTCAGGAATCTATTTCTGAGACAGAACAATTTTTTAAAAGGATTTGAAACATTAGGAACTAAGAAGAAAAATTAAGTTAAGAAGAGGTTTTTAAATACTTCAGATTGCCCTCTAGTTTAAGTAACAATATCAACCTATGATTTTTTGACTTTATTCAACAAATAATTTAAGTGTTTATCATGAGAGGTCTAGTATAATTATTTTTTATCATAAGATCAAGTTTTTACTAAGGAATTTTAAATATAATTTTACTCCTGTGATACAAAACTGATACTGTTTTACTAAACTGAAAGCACATAACAAAAATTCTTATTTCAAAACTATTAAAAGCTGCTGCTATCCAAGTAATATAGAAAGAATTGGAATTTTTTTAACTTTTTTAGTTCATTTTTATTATGAATACAGCGTTCTGCCTGCATGTACACCTGCACTCCAGAAGAGGGCACCAGACCCCATTATAGATGATGGTGATCCAGCATGTGGTTTCTGGGAGTGGAACTCAGGACCTCTGGAAGATCAGCCAGTGCTCTTAACTCTGAGCCATCTCTCCAGCCCAGGAGTGGAATTATTGATGGAATAACATTAGGCAATGTCCAGATTAACAATACAACAGCCAAAAAGATATTTTGAGTAACTGCTTCAAGATTGTTATTTACTATCCAATACATTGGCTTGTGGTCGTTCCCTAAATCTAGAATACCCGAGTATTAAGTTTTCATTTCAACACCTTTTTTACTTGAGAAAAGTCTAGTGACAAGTATTTCATTCTTTGATATTGTATTAATTTTGGTCCTGTTAAGACACCTTCCCAGTCACACATAAATGCTGCTTGCCTTCACTTTCTCCATCCTGTGTAAATGAGTTCACCTGTGGGATTCTGAAGCAGTTGTATCATTGGCTCCATAGGCTTAAAACTGAAACTTTGTCTTTTTTTTCCATTTGTTAGCTGTTACTAAAAATGAATCATTTCAAAAAAAATGGAAAAGCATAGAAATACAGAAACATTTTTGTGAGTACATTATTTTCTATGTATCATTTATTTGCTAAACACGCTGCCAGACAAAATATAAAACATAAGCAAGCTAACAAATTATCTGTGGCATAAAAAACAAGCATGTTTAGAAAATTAAGTGAGACTGCTTGCCTTTAAAGTCATGCCACAGATTGAATAATATATCAGATTATAAGTCCAGCCAGGCTGATAGGAAAAGAGATGAGTGTTAGGTGGTGACATTATTAGATTTTATTAAATATTAGAGGCAAATAATTTTTATACATGCGTATATAGCCACACACATTTTAGGTATGTTTAGAGAAAATTTGGCAGAGTTGGGTATGGTAAAGAGTAGAGAAAGCAATGTATTTGATTGCTGCTAACATGGAGTATACTAAAAGTTCTCCAAGTAAAATGGAGCTCAGAGGACAATTACATTAGTGTTTGAATGATGACCAATGTTGTAATGGTTTGGGTCTTCCTTAGTATTGTCTATGCTTCATTATTTCAGGCATGGATCAAAGCAATGAAGGAAGTATGAAAAAGATTAGCAATGTGAATCTTGACAAACTGATAGATGACTTCTCACAGATTGAAAAGGTATGTAAACACACATAGCAAATGGCTGTCGAGAAACAAAAAAGATTTTTGTCAAAGAGAGAAACTAGGAAGAAAGGAAATTTCAAAAAAAAAAAAAAAAAAAAAGTGATCCAGGGCTGGAGAAATTGCTCAGTGATTGACAACACCAACTGCTCTTGTAGAAGACCAGTGTTCAGTTCCCAGCATCCACTTGGCTGCTCACAACTGTAACTCCAATTCGAGAAGATGCAACACCTTCCTATAGTATCTAAGGGTACTATACACTTATGGTGCACTTAGATGCAGCCAAAACACTCACACACATAAAATAAAAGTGAGAAGTTCTAATTTTAAAAAATACAATGGGCAGTGTCTGCATTTGATTCTGTGAGGGGCTATGTCTTTACTGGGAGACAAAAAATTTAAGTTATATTTTTTCATTGTTTGGCTATTTCTGGAGGCTGTATTTCTTTATAAGTACTAATAAACTTCATGTATTTTAGTCTTTAAACATGAATTTTAGCTATGAGTCCTTGAATACAACAGCCATGTCATGGCCAAAAGACAGCATTTCACAACACTCTTCCTCATCCTCTGCCTCTTACATTCTTTCTACCTCCTCTTCCATAATGCCCTTTCTCATTTTAACTTACTTGTACTAATATATAAAAATGTTCTTAGGGAAAAGAAACAAACAATTGTTGTATTTTTGCTAAAGTTAAGGGAATGCCAGAATACCCACAAAATCCAAAATAGTTTTAATGAAAAGGAAAGTGGGTTCATGTTTCAGTCTTCAGCCATGATAATAAATTGTAATTATAGAACATAAATGTGTTTAGTTCCCCCCATCCTATCTGTTCCCTATTTCTTCTCTTTGCTAAAAACTTGGATTTTTCTTAGTCCAGAGATTAATGTAGAAAAAGGAAAAGAAATAAGTATGCATGTGAAAAGGAATCGATGCCATATGTTGGTACATTAATTTGAAAATACATTATCTTATTCTCAAGTATCCTAAATAAAGAGAATTGTACCACACACACACACACACACACACACACACACACACACACACACACACACACACACACTATATATATATATATATATATATATATATATATGTGGTACCCAGTTCCCTCTCCCTCTCTCCCATGTCCCCGACCCCCCTTCCCATTCACCCCCCCACTCCACAGGGAGGGTGGTACCCTCCAGGAGAGATCATCAAAATCTGTCAAGTTATTTGGACTAGCGTCTAGGCCCTCCTTCCTGCCTCTAGATTAAGGGAGTACCCCTCCATAGGGAATGTGCTTCCAAAGTCCTTTTGTGCACCAGAAATATATCCTGGTTCCACTGTCAGAGGTCCCTTAGACTGAGACCCATGTTCATGAGGTCTGAGTCAGTACCATGCTGGTTTCCCAGCTATCAGTCTGGGGATCCATGAAATCCACTTTGTTCAGGTCAGCTGTTTCTGTGGGTTTCTGTGGTCTGGTCTTGACCCCCTTTCTTATCACTGCTCCCTCTCTGCAACTGGATTCAAGGAGCTCGGCTCAGTATTTAGTTGTGGGTGTTTGTTTCTGCTTCCATCAGCTAATAGATAAGGGTTCTATGATGCCATATAAGTTAGCCATCAATTTCATTATCAGGGAAGGGTATTTAAGGTAGCCTCTCCACTGTTGCTCAGATTATTAGTAAGGTCATCCTTGTAGGTCTCTGGACATTTCTCTAGAGTCAGTTTTCTCTTCAAATCTATAATGGCTCACTCTATTGTGGAATCTCTTTTTTTGTTTGTTTGTTTGTTTGTTTTCTCTCAACTATTCGTCCCCTGACTCAATCTTCCAGGTCCCACAAGTTCTCCTCTCCTTCCCATCTCTTTCTTCTAACTCATCTTCTACTCACTGTACACGAATTCCAAATTGCTTAGGAGATCATGTTCCTTTCCCCTTCTGTGAGGGACCTTGTATGAATGTCTTAGGTTCCTCCTTATATCCTAGTTTCTCTGGCGGTGTGAATTACAGGCTGGTGATCATTTGCTGTATGTATAAAATCCATATATGAGTGAGTACAAATGAGTGACTGGGTTACCTCACTCAGGATGGTTTCTTCTAGTTCCATCCATTTGCCTGCGAATTTCAAGATTCCATTGTTTTTTTGTCCTCCCCCCCCCCCCCCGCACAGAGTAGTATTCCATTTTATAAATGTACCACAACTTCTTCACCCATTCTTTAGTTGAGGTGCATGTAGGTTGCTTCCAGGTTGCTGCTATTACAAATAATGCTGCTATGAACATAGTTGAGCACATGTCTTGGTTGTATGGATGTGGATCATTTGTGTATATGTCTACAAGGGGGATTGCCGGGTCCTATGGTAGACTGATTCTCATTTTCCTGAGGAACTACCATACTGATCTCCAAAATGGCTGTACAAGTTTGCACTCCCACCAGCAGTGGAGGAGTGCTCCCCTTTCTCTACATCCTCTGCAGCATAAGTTGTCTTTGGTGTTTCTAATTTTAGCCATTTTGGCAGGAGTAAGATGGTATCTCAAAGTTGTTTTGATTTGCATTTCCCTGATAGCTAAGGATGTGGAGCACTTTCTTAAGTGTCTTTGAGCCTTTTTGATTTCCTCTATTGAGAATTCTTTCTTCGGTGCTGTACCCCATTTTTTAAATAGGGTTATTTGGTGTTTTGTTGACTAGTTTGTTGAGTTCTTTGTATATTTTGGAGATCAGCCCTCTGTCAGATATAGGTTTGGTAAAAATCTTTTCCCAGTCTGTGGGCTGCCATTTGGTCTTGTCCACTGTGTCCTTTGCCTTACAGAAGCTTCTAAGTTTGAGGAGGTCTCATTTATTAATTGTTGATCTCAGTGTCTGTGCTAATGGAGTTATGTTCAGGAAGCAGTCTCCTATACCAATTTGTTCAAGGATACCTCCCGTTTTCTCCTCTAAGAGGTTCAGTGTGGCTGGGTTTATGTTGAGGTCTTTGATCCATTTGGACTTGAGTTTTGTGCATAGCTATAGACATGGGTCTATCTGCAGTCTGCATACCATCATCCAATTGTGCCAGCACCATTTGTTGAAGATGCATTCCTCCACCCATTGTATTCTTTTAGCTGTTTTGTCAAAAAGCAGGTGTTCGTAGGTGTGTGGGTTAATATCAGAATTTTAGATACAATTCCATTGGTCTACTTGTCTATTTTTGTGCCAATACCAGGCTATTTTCAAGACTATAGCTCTGTAGGAGAGCTTAAACTCGGGAATGGTGATTTCTCCTGAAGTTCCTTTATTGTACAGGGTTGTTTTGGCTATACTGGGTGTTTTGTTTTTCCATATAAAGTTTATTATCTTTTCAAGGCCAGTGAAGAATTGTGCTGGGATTTTAATGGGGATTGCATTGAGTCTGTACATAGCTTTTGGCAAGATTGCCATTTTTACTATGTTTATCCTACCTATCCAAGAGCATGGGAGATCTTTCCATTTTCTGGTATCTTCTTTAATTTCTTTCTTTAAACAAACAAAGTTGTTATTATATAGGTCATTCACTTGTTTGGTAAGTGTTACCCCAAAATACTTTATGTTGCTCATGGCTATTGTAAAGGTTGATGTTTCTCTGATTTCTTTGTCAGCCTCTTTGTCATCTGAATAAAATAGAGCTACTGATTTTTTTTAGTTTATCTTGTATCCTTCTAGTTTGCTGAAGGTGTTTATCAGCTGTAGGAGTTCCCTGGTAGAGTTTATTGGGTCGTTTATGTAAACTATCATATCATCTGCAAATAGAGACAATTTGACTTCTTCCCTTCCAATTTGGATCCACTTGTACTCCTTTTGTTGTCTTATTGCTTTAGCTAGGACTTCAAGTACAATATTAAAGAGATATGGAGAGAGAGGGCAGCCTTGTCTTGTTCCTGATTTTAGAGAAATTGCCTTAAGCTTCTCTCCATTCAGTTTGATTTTGGCTGTTGGTTTACTGTATATTGCTCTTATTATGTTTAGGAATGTTCCTTACATCCCTGATCTGTCCAAGATCTTTATCATGAAAGGGTGTTGAATTCTGTCAAAGGCTTTTTCAGCATCTAGGGAGATGATCATATATGGTGGATCACGTTGATAGATTTTTGTATGTTAAACCATCCCTGCAATCCAGGGATGAAGCCTACTTGGTCATGGTGAATGATTTCTCTGATGTATTCTTGGATTTGGCTTGCCAGTATTTTATTATTTTTGCATCGATGTTCATGAGGGATATAGGTCTATAGTTTTTTCTTTCTTGGTTGTGTTTTTGTGTGGCTTTGATACCAAGGTGATTGTGGCCTCAGTAAAAGAGTTTGGTAATGAACCATCTGTTTCTATTGTGTGGAACAATTTGAGGAGTATTGATATTAGCTCTTCCTTGAATTTCTGGTAGAATTTGCACTGAAGCCATCTGGCCCTGAGCTTTTTTTTTTTTTTTTTTTTTTTTTGGTTGGAAGGGTTTTTGATGACTGCTTCTATTTTGTTAGGGCTTATAAGTCTATTTAAGTTGTTTGTCTGTTCTTGATTTAACTTTGGTAAGTGATAGTTATCCAGAAATTTGTCCATTTCCTTTGAATTTTCAAATTTTGTAGAGTACAGGTTTTCAAAGTATGACCTGAAAAGTGTCTGGATTTCTCTGTGTTCATTGTTCGGTCCCCCTTTTCGTTTCTGATTATGTTAATTTGCATATTCTCTCTGCTTTTTCATTAGTTTCGATAAAGGTTTGTCTATCTTGTTGACTTTCTTGAAAAACCAACTCTTTGTTGCATTAATTGTTTTCTATTGTTTTCCTTGTTTCTACTTCATTGATTTTAGCCCTCAAATTGATTATCTCCTGGTGTCTACTCCGTTGTGAGCTTATTTCTTTTTGCTCTAAGGCTTTCAGTTGTGCTGTTAATTCTCTAATGTGATTAGCCTCAGTTTTCTTCATATGGGCACTTAGTGCAATGAACTTCCCTCGTAACACTGTTTTCAAGGTGTCCCATAAGGTCAGGTATGTTGTGTCCTCATTCTCGTTGAATTTTAGGAAGTCCTTAATTTCTTTCTTTATTTCTTCTTTGACCCAGGTATGGTGCAATTGCTCATTGTTCAGTTTCCATGAGTTTGTAGGCTTTCTGCAATTTGTGTTGTTGTTGAATTCCAACTTTAAAGCATGGTGGTCTGATAAGATACAGGGAACTATTCCAATTTATTTGTATCTGTTGAGGTTTGTTATGTCACCTAGTATGTGGTCAATTTTAGAGAAGGTTCCATGTGGAACAGAGAAGAAGATATATTCTTTTATGTTTGGATAGGATGTTCTCTATATGTCTGTTAAAACCAATTGAGACATAACTTCTGTTAGTCCTTTGTTTCTTTGTTAAGTTTCTGACTGGTGGTCCTGTCTAGAGGTGAGAGTGGGGTGTTGAAGTCTCCCACTATGAGTGTGTGAGGTTTTATGTGAGCTTTGAGTTTTAGTAACATTTCTTTTACGAATGTAGGTGCCTTTGTATTTGGGGCATAGATGTTCAGAATTGAGACTTTGCGCTGATGGATTTCTCCAGTGGTGAATACGAAATGACCATCTTCATCTCTTTTGATTGATTTTCATTTGAAGTCTAACTCATTAAATATTAGGATAGCCTAATATCTGCTTGCTTCTTGGTTGCATTTGATTGGAAGATCTTTTCCCAACCCTTTCAACTGAGATAATGTCTGTCTTTGAAGCTTAGATGTATTTCTTTCTTTTTTTTTTTTTTAGATACAAATCTGTTGGCCAGTTACTTATCAGTTTCTTATCAGTTAGCTCTGTCTTAAATATTATCCCATTTATATGAATCTAAGTGTTTCCACGTGGTCTTCTCTTACTGGAGAGAGGGTCTGGCCCTCTTCTGTCAAGTCTCTACATCTCGAATCTCCCCACTATATCTCCCAGAGTCCTTGTTTTCTCCTACTCCCACCTATCTTGCCTTCCTATTTGCCAACAGTGCTTTATTTATTAACCAATAAGAGAAACATATTTACAGAATGACATCGCCAATCATCTCTTCTTTTCTGTCTCAATAAAAAGGGTTTTAACCTTAACATAGCAAAATATGTAACAAAACAGTTATCAAATAAGAACCACAGCTAACAATATTCAGTCCATTAACAATTAGCAAGATTTAATGAAAATAGTCCATCATCTATCCTATCTTTGTGAGTCTAAAGTCCTATATGTAACTTATCTTTAATCCTAACTAAGGCAAATTATAACTGTAACTATCTGTCTTCAACTCCATCAAAGACCACAGAAGGATAATATATAAACTCTAAAAATGACAGAGACATCTCTCCTAGTCAGTCACCAGAAGTTTTTCTGTAATGTTCCATCTTTAGCCTACAGGCCATAGTGTGTCTGGCAGACACCACAGCAAAGCAGGAAACTTTAAACTGTCTACCTGTATTGGCAATTTGTCAGACACTTTTCTCTGTGTCCTGCAGACTGTCTGGCCGACTCTTCCATGAAGCAGGAAATCTGTAGCAATGTCCATCTTGAATGAGCAGTCACTTTTCTGTGGGTCCTGCATGTCCAGTTTATACAGCATCAAGTCAAACAGTCCAGACAAGAGCAGTATCTTGAACAAATGGCTAGTCTTGCCATATTGGGAGTAAACTCCATAACAAGTTTCTTCGATGTCCCTCTTCCTTTCTGACACAGATGGTGTTGCCAGGAGCAGTTGTGCCTCACTGTGAAGAAAAAATTCTAAACCATTTTAAATGCCATATTCTGTAGGTCTTTGAAGGGTTTGAAGAATGCCTGTCCATTTCTATATCTAGAAACTAACTAAACTATAAGTTTTGACTATCATGGGTAACTATCTACTTAATTATACATTTTTAAACGAACTTTATAAACACAATACCTAAACAAGAGGAGAAATACACTTATCACAAAATTGACCTTAATGTTGTATAAATAAATAAAAATCCATTTCAAAACAAAGTATTCATTTCTAGACCAAAATCCCCTTTTTGCCTTTAAAAAGAGATTGGCTGTGGTCATTAACCATTTATAATCAAACCAATTTAAAGGAAAACAAACATTTATAAACAATATTTGGGAACTTGAGTGTCGTTCTTTCCAAACTGCTTCCTGCTGCTAGGGGACTAGATGTATTTCTTATATGCAGCAGAAGGATGGATTCTGTCTTCGTATCCATTCTGTTAGCCTGTGTCTTTTTATAGGTGAGTTAAGACCATTAATGTTGAGTGTAACTAAGGGCCATTGATTGTTAATGCTTGTTTGTTTTAGATTTGTTGTTGGTGGTGGTATTGTAAATATATTTGCCCTGCTTTACACTTGGGTTCTGGTGAAGTGGGATTATATATTGCCTATGTCTTTGTGAGCCTAGTTAACTTCCTTGAGTTGGAGTTTTCCTTTCAGAACTTTCTGTTGGACTGGATTTGTGGATACATATTGTGAAAATCTGGCTTGTATTGTGAAAATCTGGCTTTGTCATTGAATATCTTGTTTGTCCATCTATAGTGATTGAGAGTTTTTAATCTGATATGGTATTTTAATATTTAGAATTTTTCCTCTAAATGAGATACAGAAATAATAATACAGATGAAGTGAGACAATGAGCTGCTTAAGTTAAAAGTGGGGAAGTGGATAGAGATACAGAAAACACAAGATTGATTATGAATCAATATACTTGAAGAGTACAAGGAAGTTCATTATTCTGTTTACAAAGATACCAAAGAAATATGTTCAAAATGATTCTTTATTGTGTATAATAGAAAAATTATAAACAACAAATTTTACCTAATTGCATCCTCCAAAATAAGGCTCAAAATAGCTGTAGAAAGAATGCAATAGATTTGTTGTGATATTGTCTTCCAGAAAATAATTCTAAGTGCAACAGCTAGGTGCAGAACACAGTAAATAGCATAGTTATGCCATCATAAAGTTTTCTGGAAATAAAAGTTTTAAGACCAGACCTCACTGTAGTGTCCAGGCTGGACATAAACTCCTGGGCTCAGGAGACTCTCCTGCATCAGCCTCCAGAGAAGCATCTACTATGCTTGGTAGACACCTGTGATTAACATGTAAGTAAAGGCTGAATAATCGAAAGAAAGGTACTCATACTAGGTCATATTTTCCTATTTATAGCAGGCTGATTTAATATTTTACCATGGCCTTCCCCATGAATGAGTGTGTGTGTGTGTGTGTGTGTGTGTGTGTGTGTGTGTGTGTGTGCGCGCGCACGCGCACGCGTGCACCCGTGTGTGAGCATGCATGCGCACGTGCAGTTCTGTGTGCTTGCTAGAACTAAAACCCAAGGGGGTATCATGAATGTTAATATGGCACTTTTTGTCACTGGACTCTATCCTCAACACTACCAAGAGGCTTTAAAAATAGAAAATAAATCAGGATGTCATGTTAATTGTAATGAGGGTGTTCACTGCAGTAACTGCCATTGTGCCCTCCATGTGCAACCTGCTTTAAGTGCATGTAGAACTTTTCATACTGTTGCATCATTGTACTCTTCTTCTTAGTATAGTTTAAAATACATGAAAACCTAGAATGAAGGAATTTCTCTGCTGCCAGAAGCTATGCATGTAAGAAAGGGAAAATTGAAGATTCAGTACACTATAGTTTATTTGAAATTATATCCCAAATTCAGTTTTTAGACTTTCAGATGTTAATGGGTTTTGTTCTCATTTGACTTCATATTCTTAACAAAAGAATCAAAATAGTGTCATTGATTTTTGTGATAACATGTTCCCAATTTCTTCTGCAGAAAATGATAGAAACCACAGGAAAGAACAATCGTCTGGATATTCAGCTGGAGAAGACTAATAGTTTATTAAAGATAATGCAAACAAGAGAAGCCACTATAAAAGAAGGTCAGTCTTTCACTGCCTAACAAAATACTAGTCTAATGAGGGTGATAACTACAGAGATTGATGTTATGCCAGTATTTGTCTCCTACCTTAAGTGAGTGCAGACTGTTGTCTCATTGGACTCTATTTTAGTACTAGCTCCAAACAAACAAACTAGAATTAAGGCAGTTAAGTCTTCTACCAGATATACCCATGTAATATATGGCAAATTGAAGGCTCAGTATAGGCCTCTAAAACCACGTGGGGCAAAACTTAAGTTACATAAATGTAAGATGGGTCACCAGTATTAAGATTTTAAAATGAAGCTTTAAAATGACAAGGTGATTCAGTGAGTAAAGACACCTGTAGCCAAGTCCAGTGCCCTCATTTTAAAAAAGAATGTCAACTCCTAAATATTGTCCTCTAACTTAATACATGTCACACTTACATACAGACATGCATATTTACGCGCGCACACACACACACACACACACACACACACACACACACACACAAAGAAAGCAGTAAAATGTAGGAACATTGTTCAAATGAAACCATGCACATAGATTTCCTTTTGTGGTTTTTATTTTTTATTTGTGTTACTTCTTTTATTTTTGGGGATTATAATAATATAATTTACCCCTTTGCTTTCCTTTCTCCAAGCCCTCCCCATATCCCTCCTTGCTTTGTCTCACATGCATGGCCTCTTTTTACATTAATTGTTGTTACATGAATATATGTATGTGTATATACATATTTATTTCCAAATACAACCTGCTTAGTCTCTATAATGTTATTTGTATGTATGTGTCTACCGAGAGGTCCTAAGGTAGCAATGATCCAGTGCCCAGATCTTATCTTCTAATACCTTTCTCTAATAAAAAAGAACTGAGTGAGTATAGGATTAGGATTACATTTATACTGTAAGATTGAAGCACTTGGGGCTGGAGAGATGGCTCAGAGGTTAAGAGCACTGGCTGCTCTTACAGAGGACTTGAGTTCAATTCCCAGCAACCACATATTGGCTCACAACTGTCAATAATGAGATCTGGTGCCCTCTTCTGACGTGCAGACAGAACATTGTATACATAATAAATAAATCTTAAAAAAAAAAAAAAAAAAAAAAAAAAGATTGAAGTACTTGGTAATGCCACAGAAAGACAATACTCAAAGAGAAAAAAAAAATAGCCTAGTGTGGTATTACATTACAAGACTATAGCACTCAGGAGGCTAAAAGAGGTGGGTTATGAGTTCAATCCAACTGGGAATAGAAAGAGAGAGCCTTTCTCCTCTTGAAATGTCTTTTTTTTTTTAAGTGAAAGAAAAGAGAAAATAAGTGCATAATGCTGAAATTTGTCAAAAACAACTCAGAAACAAACTGAAAGAGCTTTCAAAGTCCAAAGCTGGAATAACTTCAGTAACAAAAAGAACAGTGCTGAATTATACCCATAATGCAAAACAAATAGGCTGAATGCACTTTTATAAATAAATAATAAAGGAAGAAGAAACATTCTCCGGTGTGGCAGAATTCCAAATGGCATTTGGAGATTATTTGTTCTAGATAGGTGGAGCATGACTCCACTGGTTAAGTGTGAGTCCAGTAAAGAATTTTCTTTTCTATAGGGAAGCACACAGTATAACAAGGTAGATATTAAATTGCATGGTGCTGAACCTTGACACTGGGCAAATTTTATCACTGCCACATGATCAGTGAATCAAAGACAATACCATATTAACTGTATGTACCTTTGATACGGTATAATATGATGAAAATGATTCTTTACTTTTGTAAACTTCCTCCCCATCTTATAACCCCAATCTAATCATGAGATAAACGTCATGCAAATTCCCACCTGACCAGTATTTCAAAGATTGTCAAAGTCATCAAAACCAAAGAAACAGAACTGTCAGAGCAGAGAAGCCTAAGACAAAATGGCAAATAAGTATATAGTGGTATGGTGGAGAGCATCCTAGGACAAACATAAAAAGTAAACATATGAAAATAAATAAAGCAGGAATTTTAGTTAATAACATCAATATTTGTTCATAAGTTACAACAGATATACCCTACTATTGTAGAGTATTGATGGTAGGGGTAACTGGCCAATTATATATTAGTGATGATATATAGTCAGGAATTGCATATCAGAAATAAATCATATATAATCTTTTCAGTTTTTCTGTACATCTAAAATTTTATTAAATGTCAAAAAGATAAAACCACAAAAACATTTTAAAGTACTTGTATTTATTATAGAAAAAAATTTTCTAAGTATGCGACACTGTGCCAAAATCAACAGAAATTACTGTATTTCAGATTTGTTAATTGGTAGACATTTTGGAAAGTTTAAAATACACAAAGAAAAATGAATGAAAGTATAGAAAATACTGATATATTCTTTGGTTCCTCCACGTTCCCTGTCATCAACACCTTGCATTTGTTACAGCTTCTGGGGCAATATTGAATTGATAGATAATTAGTTAAAACCCAAAGTTTACTTAGTGCTCACTTCTTGTGTTATTCATTCTATGGGTTTTGATAAACATGTAATGGCATGCATTTATCATTATAGTATCAAAACAGATACTTGTTTCCTTGCCCTGAAAGATTCCCAGTGTTCTGCATATGCATCCTTACTTCCTTTGATCTCTCTAGCTGTCTGATCTTCACTGATCATTTTACTGGGTACAGTTCTTCATTTTCCAAATCATCACATAGTTGGGATCACATAACATGCAACTTCTTTAGACCGACTTCTTTCACTTTGCTTTTAAAATTCCTTCACGTTTCTGTGCCCAATAGAAAAAATCATTTTTATTGAATTTTGTGAAGACACCACAGTGTGTTCGTTCACTTATTCATCCAAATTTTAGCTGTTATTAATATGCCTGCTATAGTTATCTCTGTACAGGTTTTAGTGTAGCCTTTTGTAGAATTTGGTAAATTTTGGACACATTGTAATTGTGATCAAGATGATAATAATATTAGTGTTGAAGACTAAACACTAGTAGAATCTTTTATATGCTTAAGTTAACTATCTCTCCATTACTGTAACAACAAAACTGGGCTAAATCAACCTAAAAAGAAGAAAGGTTCATTTAGGGCTTACAGTTTTGGAGTATTCAGTCCTTGACCATGTGACCATGTGGCCTGGGGCAGCACATGATAGCATGACACACAGCAGAAAAAGCCCATAAGCCTTATGCCTGGATGTGAAACCAAGGGAGAGGACTAGGTCTCACAATCCCCTTTAAAGGTATGAATCTCTGTCCTAACTTCTTGCCAGATTTTCTCTCTTCAAGCTTTTCCCACCTCCCATGGACTCCATGAGGTAAGAACCAAACCTTTAGTACATGAGTCTTTGGGAGACATTTCAGGTCCAAACTGTAAGCTATGTTTTAATTCCATTTAATATTTCAAACTATTCTATGAAATATATACTAACACATAAATTGCTAACTAATACTAAATCCTAAAATTTGCACTAAAATCATTATTGGTGTACTAAATTATTAAGAAATAGCTCAATAATCAAAAAAATTAATAGGACAGCATAATAAATTCTAGGGGGAAAGATAATGCAGATTAAAGTTGGAAGAGACAATGAGAAGCTCTTATTATGAATCTTTAAATGCTGTTCTAGTTCGTGGAGTATTCTTTAGCTAGCTAATTACTAATGAGGGAAAATGTGGTGAGTCTGCCATCTTGTGTTCAAATTTTAAAAATACTTTTTAAAGCCTCCAGTACACACAGAGTAGCAAGATGATTTTTGTTTGCTAATTACTGAGGGAACTTCAGCTACCTCATTTCACTAATATTACAATAAGGACAAGTAATGACTGAGCACATCTCTTGTTATATCATCTAGCACAGGTGCATGTGTGAAGCAAGTTATCAACTAATATCTATGTGACTTGACTCTCTTTGTTAAGAATGTGCTTTCCTGGAAGAGTTGCATGGAAACACTTATTGTGATTCACAGATGTGACCAGGTGTGGGTCACTTTCAGGGAAGATATAGTTAAGGCACAGTGGGAAGGTCTCTATGGTACTGTGCCTTAGAAAAGTCAATACTAATTTCACATAAAACATTAATTTAAATTACTTACTATATGTATATGTTGTTTAGTTTTATGTCATCTTGACAAAAGCTAGAGTTATCAGAGAGGAGGGAGCTTGCTGAGAGGGAGTGGTGCATGCCTTTAATCCCAGCACTTGAGAGGCAGAGGCAGGTGGATCTCAGCCTGTTCTATAGAGCAGGTTCCAGGATTTCCAGGGCTACACAGAGAAACCCTATCACAAAAGAAAAGGAAAGGGAAGGGAAGGGAAGGAAAGGAAAGAAAAAGACAAGACTAGAAAAAAGGAGTTGGGAGAATGAGAGAAGGAAGTGGGGAGAGGGAGTGGGGGAGGAGGAGGTAGTCTCATTTGAGAAAATGCCTGTAGAAGATCAGGCTATAAGTAAGCCTGTAGGTCATTTTCTTAATTAGTGATTGATGCTGGAGGTCTCTGCCCTCTATGAGTAGAGGCACCCATGGACTGGTGGTCCTGGGTTCCATAAGAAAGCTGGCTGAGCAAACCATGGGGAAGCAGCACTACTCCATGGCCTCTGAATTAGTTCTTTCCTCCAGGTTTCATAACAACAATAGTAACCCTAACTAAAACAGAAATTGGTACCAGGATAGCTCTTGTTTCCAGGTTTCACCACAGGAATAATTGTTCTAACTAAGACAATATATATATTGTAATTTATCTTGAGATGTCTGGTTGCTTTATTAAGATCACATAATCTTCAGTTAAATACTATATTGTTTCAATTCTTTCAATCAAGAAGATTCCAAGATAGTTTTCAAATAAATGTATCTTTTATGTTTTAGAATGTACTACTCTTCATACTATGATAAAAGGGTTACAACAGACTATTCAATATCAACACAATTTAAAAGGTAAATTGGGGAAAATCATTCTTAAAAGCATGGTTTGGGGGGGTAGATAATTCATTCAATAAATTCCTTATATCAGTACAATTCATACAAGTCGTGTTTAAAGGAAGGAAGAGGAGACAGAGGGAGTGAGTGAGGGAGGAAGGAAGGAAGGAAGGAAGGAAGGAAGGAAGGAAGGAAGGAAGGAAGAAGGCATAAAAACAAGCCAGGTGTAGTGGTACCCACTTATAAACCCAGCACTGGTGAAACTCTATGGCTCATTCAGGGGCTACCTAGCCTGACCTATTTGACAAACTCAAGGTCACTGAGAGACCCTGCCTCAAAACACAAGGTGTATTGGTGTTTAATAGAATATAATGTAGCTGTCATCAGAAAATGGTGATTACTCAGAAAAAAATGAAACTTGGAATTACCATTTGATTCAGAAATTTCACTCCAAGGAATTTACAAAAAGGATGAAAATAAGAGACATAAAGTTTTGTACAGTGGTATTTATAGCAGCATTAATCACTAAGGCGATAAAGAGGAAGTGGCTCCCTGAAGATTGGATATAAAATGTGCCTCCAAAGGTTCCTGTATTAGAAACTTAGTCTCCAGCCCATAGGAGAAAGAACACTGGCAGAGGACATTTGCCTCTGTTTCTCTGTAACAAACCAGCCACATGCAATGAACAGCTTTGACCTGCCCTGTACTTTCACTGTGTGCTACCACAGGCTCAAAGCAATGGTACAAGCATGAACTGAAACTCACAGAACTGTAAACAAAAATAAGTCTTTTCCTCTTTTTAAGTGCCTATCGAAATAACAGAGCTGAGTAAACTCCAATGTTCAACAGATGGGTAAAGAAATGAGGTATACTCCTATGAAGAAATGTTATGCATCCTTAAAATGGAATGATGCATGCATGTTACATGAATGAACTTGAAAGCATTATGCTAAGTGAAATATGCCAGACAATAGACAGAGGCTTTATAGTTCCACTCATACCTAGTACCTAGAGTAATAAAATTAAGAGATGGAAAATAGCAAGTTGCCAGGGGCTGGGGGTTGGAATAAGAGAGATTAGTGTTTGGTAGACACCACATATACACTAAGGGAAGATAAGTTTCTGGAGATGGAAGTCAAGATGCTTACACACATTATACTTAATGCCTCTGAACTGTATTCCTAGAATAGCTGACTTAAAACATATAAAGCTAAATCATAAAGAAAGCCCGTTTACTTTTAAAGAGATTGAAGTCCTCCGAAATACTACTTTTATTTCAATGTGAAAACTTACTGTGTCCCCATGACTTTAAAATTCCACACAGTAGAGGAGAAACAGAAAAGTTATCTGTAGTCTTTACTTTGCTAAAGAAAATATTGTTTTGTTTTGGTTGAAAATATTTTCCCATTTTTGGTACGTTTTTCACTTAGAGAAAATAAGGTGTGGGGGGCACACATGCTGTTGTGTTTGTTTCTTTGTTTGTTTGTTTTGATGACCCAGTGAGTTACAGTAGAGTCACTTAGAAGAGCATGGGTGAGGGGTTCTCTATAAGAACATAGACACCTTACCAGTGGCTATACCACTGAGGAAAATGTTACCCCTTCCTACAGTAACTATTAATTGCCTATAGATGTTCAGGAAGAGTTGGAGCCTCGTGAGCCCACTTCCACTCCTGGACAGGATTATGATGGGTAATCACAGCTGCTGTGAATTCAAGAGTGCAGCAGCCATACTATAGTAATGTACATCATGAGTCATTTTACTACTTCATTGTTCAATATTCTTCTCTTAATGTATTGAAAATTCCTAGTTATTCTTACAGATATGTCTTCCTAGACAGTGTAGTTTGAATTTGTACAGCACCTCTTTCTCACGCTTTATACCTCACCAGGTTTCCTATTCTGAAATTATAGCTTTTCTTTCTTTTTAAATATTTTTGTTTATTTATCTGTATGGGAGGTGGAGCACATGTCAGATGGTTCTCATGTGAAAGTAAGAGAACAACTTGCTGAAGTCAGTTCCCTCCATCCACCCTGGGAGTCCCAAGATTGAACTCAAGTCATTAGGTGTGATATTTTGTTTGTGCTATAACAAATAAGCTTGCCTGAAGATCAGAGTATAGCACTAAGCCACCAGTTAGCTACAGAGGCCAGGCAGTAATGGCACACAACCTTTAATCCCAACACTCAGGAACCAGGCAGTCAGATCTCTGTGAGTTCAAGGACAGCCTGGGCTACAGGAGATTGATTCAGGCTAAAAGAGAAACAGAGCTCACACAAAGGTGATCTCAGCACTTGTGATCACAGGATGCTGAGCATTGGTAGAGGTAATACCTCTAGTGGCTGGCTGCTGTGCTCTGATCCTTCAGCTTTAACGTCCTGATAGCTGACTCCACGTTTTTATTATTAAAAACAATGAGAATGTATGCTACAATTAGGCTTAGATATTTTATTTACTTATTTTTCTTAGGTTTCTTGACACATCTCATTTTGTAGCCTCAGATTGCCTGGAGCTTAGTATTTATCCTGAACTGGTCTATAGTTTGCAATAATCCTTCTACCTTAGTCTCCGAAGAGCTAGAATTACAATGGCAAGCTGTCACACTGGCCTTTGAAATTGTTTCTCTCAAGCTCGTCCTCTGCTATATACTTCTTTGTGTCTGGAATGCCCTTCCCTAATGCAGAACAAACCTTACCTCTTAAATCTCAGCTCAGGGTGGTTGCTTCTTCCCCAAACCCTTATCCAGTGTCAAGATGACCCAGGTCTATCCCATCACATGGTCTCAGAGTATCTCAAATACAGGTTTATCTAATATAGCTATTTCATCTGCCACACAACTAGACTTTAAGTTTAGTTAAAAGCAGTAACTTCTTGTGTTACTGCATTCCCAGTGTCCAAAAGTGCTAGGCACACATTTATTGAATACATGCATGAACAGAAATGTAAATGTTACAGATAATCCCATGTTAATTTTCAGTGTTATTTAGTAATATGTTCCTTGATTATTTGTACAGATGAAAATGAACAACTAAAAAGAAATGTTGATTTTATGAAAGAGACGTTAAAATCACATGAGCAGGTGAGATTATATGTATTGTATTCAATGAGACCCTTGAAAAGCATTTGTTTATTCAAATAAGAAAATTGTTTTAATTAACATCATCAGAAATTTTGTGTGTAGCAAATATATGTTATATATGTAAAAATTTTTAATAAAGAGCAGTAACTTTTGCAATTCTAAGCCATTTTATAAAACATAATATACCGAAATCACTTATACACTATTTCTTTCTGCCAAGAAAAGGTGGGATTATTTTGCTATGTGATTTTCAGTTGTGCTAATAGACTCACTTTAAAGTATATTCTGTTTATTAATCTTTTCAATTCTTTTACTATAAAAGAAATGAGTCTGTATTTTTTGTGACCTGGGTAATCATCAAACCATCCAAATAATGGGGAAACTTTATGTACAGCATGTATCAGGTCCTTCCAGTGGTCACTGTACTCTGCTACATTTACTTGCATCCTCCAGGTACAGTGTAGTGATAGCAATCACAGAACATATAACACAGTGCCTCAAAATGCTAATCCCTACCCCCTACCCTTGGAGGGGTTCATTGGACAACATTTTTCTTATTACCAAGAGACAGCATATCAAACTCAAACATCTCCAAAATGCGAGTTAAATCTTCACAGGCTTAGCTTGAAGGATCTTCCTGTGACTTGATGAATTCCTGTGTGACAAGCTCTTAAGGAAATGATGTTTATTCTAGGGCCCAACCTGGAACTTCTGTCTGAGTAATAATTACTATTATGAAAAAAGCATTCTGCCTGTGTTGGAGGACTTAGACTTTCAGTTAAGTATCTCCTGGATACTTTTCTCCTCATCCTTTTCTCTGCCCCCCCCCCACCTTTAAATCTTCTTTGAGTCTTCCCTGCTCCTTTCCAGATCTTCACTGCAGAGCTCCGTAGTACGTGATAAGTCAGTTTGCACTTCAGGTACAGAAACAGAGAAAATTTTACCTTTTTCCTTCTCAAACTTCTTCACATATATTTAACATTTTTTAATTGGATGAAAAGTATAAAGCACAATACATTTTAAATTTCTTAAATAGCTTTTGTTCAAAGTATACTTCTTAAATGGCCTCAATACAATGAGAATTTACTAATACTGACCCTCCCGCTAAACCCATAACTAATGGAGATCCACTTCTTAGGATCAAACATAGAAGATGCTTAATAGAATACTTGCTAGATGATCCTATACATTGCACATAGAAAAATAGTAAGTTTCATAAAATAAGGACACAGCCAGAATCTATCCCTTAAAATTTAAAGTTCCAAGAAACTAAATAAGAAGGCAGCCAGCTATTATTTCCTAGGGATTGGTTTCATTAAGGGCAAGAAGGAATTATTCTATAATAAGACTAAAATTAGAGCCTACCTCAGCCCACATGTATGAGCTCTTATGCCCAAAAACTGTAGTGAAATTCTGAATATTACCAAATTGATGCACACCTTCCACTTAGCAATGGCATCAGCAGGTGATGCAATCAGATGGGAATGTACATAGAATTATCTCATATGCTTCTTAGAGCAACAGTGACTTCCTCACCTCGTGTAGTTTATAGAGAACATTCTATTGGCTCTTCTAGTTGCCCATCTAGAAACCTAGTTACACACAAATGGGTAAAAGGCCATCTTTGAAGTTCTCCCTGCATTGACTCTGCCCAGCTTTAATCACATCTCGAACTCTTATACGTTTGGCCAGTTCTGAAACTTACTTGGCAGGATAAATAGCACAAATGGCAGTCCAGATTGTGTCCCTTTAAACGAGTAGTCCTGGTTATTTTTCCTGTTGCTGTGACAAAAGACACTAACAAAAGGAACTTAATAAGGAAAGGATTTACTCTGACTCACAGATCAAAATGCACTGTATCGTGGTGGAAAAGTCAGGGTCAGGAGCTAGAAGCAGCTGCTCATAGCACCCACAGCCAAGGCACAGAGAGGGGTGAAAATGGCTTTGGTTGGTTACTCCACTTTTCATGGATCAGAATACACACACACACACACACACACACACACACACACACATTCTCTCTCTCTCTCTCTCTCTCTCTCTCTCACACACACACACACACACACACACACACACACACACACAATTAAAACAAGTCTTCCCATATCAATTAACATAGCTAATATACTCCCTAACAGGCAAACCCTGGTCTGTGGCCTAGGTAATTCTAGATTCTGTCAAGTTGACAACACTAACCATCACCTATCACACTGATAGGTGTATTTAATTATAGACACATGAGCCAGTACATCTAGAATCCTTTGAGGTTTTGTTTTTGTTTTACCTACTCAATACTACTCACTATCTAGGAATAGCTATAAACCTTTTTGCCAAAAAAAAAAAATGTTTACAAACACCATGCACAACTAAACACACACCCACGTTTTTGCACAAAATCTGAGCTGTAATTTCAAGTTATACTGCAGAACCTTAGTAATAAAAAAAAAAAATGATACTAGCACTAGGACAAACATTTGGCTCAATAGACTTGAATAAAGAACCAAAATATAGATCCAGATACACAACCACACAATTACAGCTACCTGATTATTTACAAGGATGCCAAAAACAGATACTAGAAAAATGACAACTTCTTCAACAAAGGATATCTAGAAAAATGGATATCCAGGAACAGAAAAAGGAAACTAAGTACCTTTCTCAACCCACACAAGAATCAACTCCAAGTGGACCAAAGGCTTAGTGTGAACATGAAATCCCAAAGCTGTTAGAGTAAAAACTTAAGCAAACACTTCAAGATAGAGCATAGGTAAGGATGTTTGCAATGGCTACTCCAGGAAATAATGCCAACAACAGATAAATGGGACCTCATGGGGTTAGTCTTCTGTACAGCAAGAAAAACAGTTGCATAAAGAAAGACCCTACAAAATGGAAGAAAACCTTTGCTACATCAGACAGGATTAATACCTACAGTACACAAAGAAGTCAAAAATCTGTATAGAGCCAATGAGGTAGCTCAGCAGGTTAAAGGATGTGCCTGTTGAGCAAGCCAGAAAACTTAATTTCAATTCCCAGAACCCATGTAAAAATGGAATCACCTCCATATAGTTGTCTTCTGACCTCTGCATGTAAACCATGCTCCCCCCATTTTCTGACTCCTACATTTGGATAAGAATATAAGCTCTCAGCTACTGCTCCAAAGCCCTTCCAACCTGCCTGCTTCCACTCTCCCTGCCATGATGGTCATGTACTCTTAAACTGTAAACAAGCCCAATAAACTCTACTATCAATTGCCTCAGTTATGGTGTTGGTTCACAGCATTAGAAAATGTAACTAAGGACATGGACAAGAAGAAACCCCCATATATTGCAGTGGAAATATAAAATAGTCCACCACCATGGAAGTCAGTATGCAGGTTTCTCAAGAAACTAAAACTACATCTACACTATGACCCTGCTACACCATTCCTGGCTATTTACCAGAAGGATTCCAGATCAGCATAATGCAGAATGATGTGTACATTGGTATTTATTGAAGCACTGTTCACAATAGCTAAGTTATAGAGCTAAATATCCAACAGTAATGGATAAAAAAATGTATCATTAATAAATGGGACTTCATGAAACTGAAAAGCTTCTGTAAGGCCAAAAAGGCAGCCTATAGAATGGGAAAAGATCTTCACCAACCTCACATCTGACAGAGGGCTGATCTCCAAAATATATAAAGAACTCAAAAAACTAGACAACAAACCAAATAATCAAATTTAAAAATGAGGTACTGGAAGGGACTCCAGCAACAGCTCTGCCCCACGCCAGTCTGAAGGCCCCACGCCAGGCAGAAGGGCACTGTTGCGATGAGCAAACATATAGTATGATATGGAAGAGAGAGAAACAGGATGGTTCATGTCCTGTAGGCAAAGGCATATTTGAAGAGGTGAAAGAAGTGAGGAGTGAGCTGAGGTGGGTGGCCATGGTGATGTCTGGGCTTGGGCTGCTGTTGGGACCCATGTCTGTGTTCATGGCACTGATGCATCGCTATTGATATTCATGGCTCCTAAGAGGACAGGGCTGTACAGAATTGGCCCAGCTCCTCAATGGCTACAATCCTAGGAAGAACTGGTCCTTCTCACTGGCTAAAGCACTCAGGAGAGAGGGTCCCACATCTGGGCAGCACTATAGAGAAAAAAAAAGTTAATGAAATGATTTCTAATGATATTCTACTATATTCCTAGATTGATGTCTTGCCCAGTTGTCATCAGAGAGAGACCTCACCCAGCAAATGATAAAATCAGATTCATAAACCCACAGGGGTTGAGGGGACTAGGAAGAAAGGGGGAAGAGAAACTGTGATCAGGCTAGCAAAAAAAATAATTTATTAATTAATTAGAAAATAAGAAACAAATAAAAGAAAATGTATGTATGTATAATGGTATTTTTTTTCAGCCATAAAGAAAAAATGAAGCTAGGTTGTTTGCAGGGAAATGGATGCAACTAGAGATAATCATGTTATACAAATTAAACCAATCTAATAAAGACAGATATTATGTTTTCTTTCATCTGTGGTTCCTAGATTTTATATAGATATATAAGATCATGCATATATTTGACATGCAGGTAGAAGCAAAATGTTAAGGGAACAAAATATTGAGCAAGATGAGTCTGAAGATCAGGGGAAATATACACACAGTGTGAGTGTGTTTGTGTGAGGGGGGAAGAGAGAGACAGATTGTGTGTGTGTGTGTGTGTGTGTGTGTGTGTGTGAGATGAACAAAGTAGAAAGGGTACAATGAGGAGGAAAAGGAGTCTCAAGGAAGTGTGGAGGAAGAACAAGAAAAGGTAATGGGCAGTGCATCAATTACTTTTCTTGTTGCTGCAGCTAAATACCTGGCAAGAAAGAGTTAAAAGGAGGGAGGTTTTCTTTAGATTTACAGTTGAAAGGGATGTATCTGATCACAGTCAAGAAAGAAAGCTGAAGAAGCCAGGTAGCTGGCCACATTACAGCCACTGTCAGGAAGCAGGTTTTGAACAGAAAGTAGAGGCAGGTTATCAATCTCAAGGCTTATCTCCATAATAAGCCTTTAAAGGTTGTATCAATGCCTCCTAATGGTTCCACAGTCTCTGAAAGTAGTGTCACCATTTGGTGACCAGGTATCTAGACACATGAACCTGTGGGGATAGTCCACATTCAAACTACAACAGATAGGAAGCAAAACAAAATATGATAAATTCTCTGAAAGACTCGATATGAAGAGAAAACTGACTCTAAAGAAATGTTCAGAGACCTCCAAGACTGATCCCAACTAACAATTTGAGCAACAGTGGAAAGGCTACCATAAATGCCCTTCCCTGATATTGAGATTGATGACTAACTTATCCACCAACATAGAGCCCTCATCTAGTAGCTTAGGGAAACAAGCAAACACCCACAGCTGAACACTGAGCCAAACTGGAATCCAGATGCAGAGAGGGAGGACAAGACCAGGTTACAGAAACCCACAGAGACAGCTGACCTGAACAAGGAGGAGCTAATGGGCCTCCAGACTGATAGCTGGGAATCCAGCATTGGACTGACCCAAACCCCCTGAACATGGGTCTCAGCTAGAAGACCTGGGCAGTCTAAGGAACCTCTGACAGTGGAAACAGGATGTATCCCTGGTGCACAAAAGGACTTTGCGAACATATCCCCCAAGGAGGGATAACTGCCTTAATCTAGAGACATGAGAGAAGCCCTAGTCCCTACTCCAAATGACTTGACAGATTTTGTTGACCCCTCCTGGAAGGAATCATCCTCCCTGTGGAGTGGGTGGGGAATAAGATGGGGGGAGGTCAGGGGAGCATGGGAGAGAGGGAGGGAGGGAGGAAAAAGGAACTGGGGTCGATATATAAAATAAGAAAAATAAATAAAAAGAATTGAGATGTCTCTCTAGCAGAAGAGGGACTGTAAGGACTATGGTTTTTCCATCCGCCACCTAGTCTTGTCCCGCCGCAGCGCCAGCCCCAATTAACACACAGAGACTCTATATTTGATATAATTCTGTTGGCCAGGTACTTGTTTCTTATCAGCTAGCTCTGTCTTAAGTATTAAACCATTTCTGTTAATCTAATATTTCCATGTGGTCTTCTTACCGGGGCCAGCGTCTCGTCTCCCCCAGTCTCTCCATCTTGACTCCTCCTTACTACTTCCTCTTTCCTCCTTGTCTCCTAGTCCCACCTATCTTGCTTTCCTATTGGCCAACAGTGCTTTATTCATTAAACCAGTATGAGAAACATATACAGAATGACATCTCCCATCAGAGGGACTATTTTGAAAGAGGGAAAGGAACAATTAAAGGAGGGGACAGGAAATCGGTGCGTATATGAGCAAAGTACAGTGACATACATGTATGAATAATAAAACATTTTATGTGTGCCTACTAGTAAGTTAATTGAAAATAATTAAAAAGCACTGTATATAGTTGCATGTCAAAATTAATATAAACTGGGAAGTTAACCTTTTTTAATTATCAAAAATTATAATTATTACATTGAAAGTGAATATATTTTAATTTCTAGGAATATAAGAATAATGTTGCAAAACTTATAAGTGAAATGAAAATCAAAGAGGAGGGACATAAAATTGAAATGAGCAAACTTTATCAGGATATGCAGAAAAAAGGTAACTAAATTTTAATTTATTGAGTTCTGACATACCATGAAGCAATTTAAAGGTGCATATTATTTTTCCAACAATAGTACTCTTGAGTGAACACTTCCTTGATGAATTTCAAGTTTTGTATATTTGTGCAACATAAATATACTAGCTCTATTTATCATTCATGCTTGTGTTCAACTTTGCCCAATGTGAATCAGCATCTTTATATAAGTGTATTGTATTGTATATGATTATATAATTAATATAAAAGGTTTAAATAAGGTTTTAATTATTTCCTTACTATATTGAATTACTTTCATTAATTTTCTTTAGTAAAACTGTTCTCATTGCACATATGTAGTGAATTGGCTTATTTTGAAGCCATACTTAATGACCCTATCTTTATAAACATCATTTATAAAAGTTAACTTGAAGCTAGGCCTGTACACCTGTAATTCCAGCACTTGAGGCTGAGGTAGGAGACAAAACTATTTCAAGCTCTCTCCACAATAAAATGAGCAAAATATTTGAAAAGGGGCTGGAGAGATGGCTCAGCAGACCAGGTTCAGTTCCCAACACCCACATGTCAGCTCTTAACTGTTTGTAACTCCAGTTTCAGGGTTATCTGACACCCTCACACCAATGCACATTTAAAAAATGAAATACATTTTTAAAAAACTTTTGAGCAAACCTTACCCCAAATATATACAGGAGGAAAATAAGCATATGAGAAGATGTTTGTAATCTTACAGCATCCTCACTTGGATTCATACCTCCAAAGCCAGTACCATGTGGATGACACCACTAAGTTCAGCTGCATAGGATAGACTCTCACCCTCTTCAGTCCCATTTGCAGCAGCTTCTTTTAATAAGAGTTTTTATATGTGGGTATGTTTTATCTACATATAGGTCTGTGCACTAGATACATGCATTCCCAATATAAAACCATGTCAGATCCTCTGGAGCTGGAATTACAGGTGTTTGTTAGCTGTTTATGTGGGTTCTTGGAACTGAACCCAGCCCCTATGACAGAACAACAAATACTCTTAACTGGTAAATCATCCCTCCAGCCCCTGTAGCGTTTTTTTTTTTTTTTTTTTTTCTTAATTCAATTTCTCTCTAGGAGCACTTTGTCATGTTCCTCCTGCATCATTGCAATCACATTGCAATTGTTGTAATTAATATCTGTCTCCTAGCCCAAAGCAGAAATGTTTCAGTGGAAACAGAGGACACACCTATCCTGTATGAAGTGTTTAATATAATTGATTGATAAGCATGCTGAATTAGCAGATTAGAAGATAAATAAATGTGAGCACATAACTTTGAATGTTAATGAATGAATTTTTTTTGTTTTACTTAGTTGAATTAAAAGAAGAAAAGTACAAAGAACTAATGGCAAAGAAGGAGATGGAAATATCAGAGTTAAATGAAAAGTTAAGAACTCAAGAGAAGGAAAAACAAAATGAAATACTCAGACTACATCTAGAAGTAGGTGCTTACAGGTCTTCTAAACAGGACCATGTTAATTAGTCTAAACCATGTTTTGTTTGTTTCTTACTGCAATGACAGTTTTCACGACTAGACAGAAGCCTCTGAGAAGACTACACATTCTCATTGTCCAGCAAAAGCAATGCTCAGTTAGCGGGCTACTGTCATATGCTTCTCAGCACTAGATCTAAAGAAAGGCTTAGCTTCCAGGAAGAATAGTGCTTCCTCTGAGAATATGGACAGTACTTAGGAGTTACCTGACTTTACAGTCCTGTCTACACTAGAGGTGTACGACCACCATTCCAGAATGGGAGGATTACAACAGGTCCTGGTACTTCTCTCTCCCTGGAAGAAATCATGGAACTCTTTTTATTTATATAAATATATATATATATATATATATATATATGGGATACAAACAAAAAATTCCTCTATATTTCTATGAAAACATATTCTAGAGAAGAACAAAATCCTTTTGAAATAGTTCCTTTTTCAATGAGTTCTTCCACTACATGTTAGACTCTCATGGCTACTGATATATTAACAATTTATTTGTCTTTTGCACTTTTTTCCTAAATTCTGCCAATCTCTTTGTCCATTATTATGCTATGGCTTCCACAGATCTCTATGTCAAGTTTATGCAAAAATTCACAGATCTTAATGAAAATTATTTACTATTTATTTTCCAGGGACTTTGCTATTCCTAGGGTGCTTCATGGGGTTCTGTGTGTAACATTATGGGGCAGAAAGGGGGTTATGCTGCTTCAAAGGGATTTTGCTACTGCTCCTGCTATTGCTATTGTTCTTGCTGCCACTATGTTGCTGTATAGTTGCTGTATAGCCACCTCTGCCTCCTAACCAAATATATACAGAGAGGGCTGGATGACCAAATGAAATACAGCAGGCCATATTTCAAGTTGTACCACCAACTTATCATCTGTCAGTTATGAATTTGCATTTTATTTGCTGAGTGGTGACACTAACATAGTCTGATTATACTGATGACTAGTACTCAGATGTCTTCGTCTATCTCATTATAACTCTGCAGTTCTCTCCACTAACCAGAATGCTTTTGGAGAGGCTACATTAAGGTAAATCTAAAAGGAAGAATTAGAGTGGATTGTGGTGCTTTAAAAAATGGTGTATGGGAATAGGCTGTAGTAATCTTTTACTTTGACTTGGTTTAATTCAAATTTAAAAAAAAAAAAAAAAAGCCTGAACTGACTAAATCACATCCAATTTCTAATATTTGGCTTCAAAGTTTGAAAGATGCATGAGCTTTTTTCCTAAGAATGTGGATTATACTGATTTTCTTGAGAAAAGAACACCAATGGTATTGTGAAAACACTTTCTAGTTCAGTGGTCAAGAATATGCCTCACATGGAAGGGTAGGAAAAGAAGAAACGGTGTCTTGAGAAAAAGTACCATGCTACTTATAGAGAAAGTGTCCAGGATTCTGACTCTTTTTTAAAGCCCACAAAGCAATTTTAATTACCCACCATTTCACTGAATATTCTTTGGATGTTCTTTGTTCTTTTTTCAAATTGTTTCATAAAGGAATTTTTGTCTATCATACAGATTGTGTTCAATTACAATATATGAAGTGGAGGATTTTGTTGGTATATTTTTCTGTAGATGTGCTGTTTCTAAATATTGAACTACAACAACTTTAATAATTGTCTCCTTCTGAATTTGGTTCAGTTTGACACCAAACTAGCAAGAGTTCAGACTAAATCAAAGTCATATCTGGATGCTACTATTTTGCCACAGAGTATCTACAGAAGGGTATGTGCATTTATCACTGACTGTAACGTAAGTGAATTAATTGCCTAGTGTGTTGATATAAACATTGTCTGATGGTTATTTTAAATATATTAAATTATGTTTGTAGCCCTATACCAGTTTTTCCCTTCCAATCACACAAAAGTGAAGCTACAAGCCTTTCAAAGTAAGATAGTTTTTAAAACATGAGCCTGAAGTGTGTTTTGATTGTTGTTTTGTCGTTCCTTATACTTCATCTTACTTCTACATTGCAATGAATGACAACCTTTGTTCTGCTTCATTTAGAAGCTTCAGCATCTCCAAGAGGAAAAGAGCAAGGAGATTGCGGGTCTACAGAACACCATCCGAGACCTGGAGCAGCGCCTTGCAGCTGTCAAAGGCTCCCGCCTCACACGGAGACGGTTTTGAGAAGAGTATTTCATGCATTTATTATAACTTAATTTCTTTAAAGGCATTAAAAATTCACTTCTGTTTTCAGTTGTGAACATGCTAAATAATAAAGATGCATACTGTTGAGCTTTTTTAAATTGCATTTATTTAGATAAGTCTGTACTGTGGCCAGTTTTCTACTCCATTTTTGCTTAATGGTATTAGCCATAAAAGAGTTCAGGTTCATAGGGCTGAGTTTCTCTATTGAACCATCATTGATTATGGAAATACTGTCTTAAGCAATATGCAGATTAACAACATACTTTTCTTCCGTTACATCTTTCAAGACAGTCACTCACAATTCAGAACGATACAGCGCAAGATGAAGGAAACAAGAAACACAGATGTATATAGTGAAAGTAAAGATGGTTGTTATCTTAGATATAAAAAAGATATTTAAAATACAGTCTGTTCAAGATTTAATTGGTTAAAAATTTAAGATTAAAAAATAAAAGTTCCTATTGTTTTGAGAGTTTAAGGAAAGAAAAAATAAAAAACTGGAAAAATATGTCTTTGTTGTTCTTTCCCCATTCTAAATTACGAGGTATCCAACAGAAACCCCTAGGTCATAGTTTATGTTTCTGTTCTCATCAATGTAAATAGAACACTGGAAAAAGAAGAAGAAAGACATATTAACCAAAAGCTGCAATCACTTTTTAGTTACCCCGTAATACAAATCTGGTTTGGGTCAAACTTTCTGGGGATAAAAATTTAAATTTAGAATCCAGTATGGTAGCTTTTTCCATGTTTGCACAAATCCAATTCCTACTTTAATTCACCAATTAATTAAATGGATTATAAAATTTCTAGAAATGAAATTATGTCTTTATAATACCGACTTAGGGAGTATACTTCTTATTTTAAATATTTAGTTTGAACGTCATTTTCACTTTTTGGTCCTATTATTTCAGCTTCAATTGGGGCTGGCTCCTGTGGGGTTTATTGGCTGACTCTGTCAGGCAGCTGGAGGTGATCGACACTGACAAGATTCAATGACTTTCTCCTCCGCAAAAAGCCCCTGTCAGCTACATAAAGATGGGAGGTTTTCAGCGCACTGTCAAGTGATTGCAGACCCTGACTTCTCAAATATGAGATGGCGACAGTGGCAGCAGCAGCTACTGGTAGTTGTCCCGGACTCCGTAGACAACTTACACAGAAGCTGATTTATGCATCCCTTTCGACAAAGCTTCCTTTGGGCAAGTGAAAGCTGTAGACCTTCACTTGCCTGCATATCTCAGCTCTCTAAGTGTCCCTGCCCGTGCTTGCCCTTGTTCTTATGGTGGTGATGTAAGCCTGAAGGAGGGAGAGGAGCTTCAACATCTGCTGCTCCTGGCTGCTGATTCTCTGAAAGCTCCCCGCTCCCAAGAGACCCGTGCCCGTGTTTGTGATGGTGCTTGTGGTGGTGATGTGCCTCAGAGGGCTCTGCTGTTTTGCCCACAGTAGCTGAGGACACATTTTTACAGAAGTCTTCATCTTCAAGACTCTGAAACAAATTTACAAATCACTTATTAACAATCTCATCGATTTACCATGAACACACGAAAAAATTACTTGTAGAGACAATATGTATGTTATTCCAACAAATTAATTGGGATACAGTTGACTAGTATATTAATGAAAAAGAGCTTGGTCTTGGTTTCAGTGTCTTCATTTTTTAATAAAAGTTTAAAGAAGCCAAACTACTGTATTTCTCTCTGCAAAATCAAAACTAAGTAAATTGTCTGAAAAAATTTAGATTGTAGTGAAGTCAGTCAGTCAAATATGGAATTCTGCTATCAGTAGAGCTACATGTATAGCAGGCATTTACACAAATGCAAAACCAGAAGTAATCCCAAAATATGAAAAATAAAATTTCAATGGCATTAAGTAATTCATGTCAGTTCAAATTTAAGAGCTTTATTTGCAAACCAGTCTTATCTTTAAAATCTGTAACTAAGTCACAGATTTTATGAATATTAAAATGTAAAAGTGGTATAATTAAAATGGCCTGTCAATAAAGTGAATTGATTAAATGACTTGTTGAAAGTTGAGGAAACTTCCTGTAGATCAGGAGAAAGAAAATGTAACTACTAAATAATTTCAGAACATTTGCAAACCTGAATTTAAGTTTTGGCAGTCTTCCCTATTAGGAAAACATTGTTTAAAATTATCTTAAGTGTTAGAGAACAACTTTAGTCAATATTAAACAATTTTTATAAAAATGATTAAAAGTAGTACTTCTCATAACAAGAATAAATATTTTCATGGCTCTTAGGAGATACCAGTAATGAATAGAATACATTTCTTTTTCAAGTAAGTGCAATAATTCAACTTACAGATTGAAGAGGATAGCTTTTTAGCAAATATGGTAGTCCTGGGAACTTGACAAATTAAGTAGGTATCTAGTATCAGTTCCCTAACAGGTAATATAGTTGAGGAGCTTGACTATTACTATGCTCTCAGCATGCCTAGGTTACCTCAGTCATAATATTTTATATGTTGGCTAATTCTTGGAGCACTCATATTCATGCAATAATGTTCATTATTAAGTGACATAGTGATCTACATTGATTTTATTATTTTAAATATGTAGTTATGTTTGCTCTGTGTATACGTGACTTGCCTGCATGTATTGAATACACTGCATCTGTGCCCGGTACTGTATCCCCTGGAACCGGAATTAGAATGGCTCTTAGCTGTGATGTTGGTGCTGAGGATTGATCAAGGTCCTCTGTTCAGTGTTCTTAACCCCTGAGCCATCTCTCAACCCATAATTTGTTTTCTTGTTTGTTCTTAAAGCTTTTACAGATAAAGCAGCAATATGAGTCTTGCAAATAAATATGAGTCTAGCAAAAAGTGTATGTTTAAGATTTTCTTATCTAATTGATGATGAACCACTTATTTAGATATTTAGATAGATTTTTGTTATGTTTTCTCCTTATTCCCCGGTAAAAACAATTGAGAAAATACCAACCGTGAAAGAGCAATTTCCACACTTCTTCTCACAGTAAGCGATCTTAATGGCTTCTTCAACATACGGGAACGTGAGGAAGGAATAAGGCAAGCCAAGGTGATACACAAGACGGCCACATCTAAAAGGCAAATACGATGTTACTACTGTACTCTCTGCCCTGTGACCCTACTCAGGCTAGAGCCTCTTCCATTCTCTTAGTAAATTTCCTTGAGAGGGGTCTATAATTGAGTTCCCAGGCCAGGTTAATATACCAGGTCAAGTTATAGCAAGAGTACTGAGTCTAATTTTAGTATTTTAAAATGTTACAGATGCCATAAAATAGTTTGAAAACAGTGTAAAGATTGTGATTCAGTCCAATACTTTTTTAATTTGCATCTATTCTGCCAAAGACTAACCATGGGAGCTTCTTATAATTACTTGGACAAGACAAATTTCACAGAACCAGAAATCACTGCATAACAAAAACAATGTCGAAGTTTTGGCCAGTATCTACTTTATTAATTTGTAGGTGTAGGAAACAAACCCAAGCCTTATATATCCCATGTAAGTGCTCTGCTAGTGAGCTACATCCCCAACCCCTGATTTCCTGAGATGGATTTTCAATGTGATTCAAATTAGCCTTGAACACACTGTAACATCTAAGCTAGCCTAAAACTCATTAGTTTCTCCTGTCTACTGAATGTCACAAGTACCGGCATAATTATGGGTTAACTAGCTCATTTATCCCAAGAAACATATCTAACATAAAAAAAAATTCAACACAATAAAATAACTAGAATTATAACTATCAAATTATCTATTCTCTAAATTATCTATCCTCTAAAATGATCAGGTTGAAATGTTTATTTTTACTGACATTTTTACCCAAAATATACAGCATTATATTTATACTCTATAATTGACCAAATGAAAAGTTTAGATACCTGGAAGAACAAAGTGTAAAGCTAAAATGATATTTAATGTGAGACATAGTGAGGACCCAGCCCAGGCAGAGACAAAAGAAAGCATGCATCAACTCAGAATGTTTACAGATGACAACAAATGCATTCAAGTTCTCTCAAAGTATGAATATTTTAATTTGATCACAGATTCCAAAATAAATTTATACTGTTCAATCATGCTGAAAACAATTTCCAAGTTAAGAATTGCAAGCATATAGCCATAAAAGTATAAATTAACTTAGACATATACAGGTATGGTCTCCAACATATGATTATTAATTTGCATAGTATTTAGAATTATATCTGTTATGCAAATGGATTCTTTAATTTATTTAACAAAGGGGAAATGTATAGTCCATTTTCTGTAACTACCTATTGGAATGGTGGATTTACATTTAACTAAAAAGCTCATTTCAAAAATATAAAAACCAGCCCAGCTTTGGGCACATGCCTTGCCTTTAATCCCAGCACTAGGGAAACAGAAGCAGGAGGATCTCTGTGAGTTCAAGGCCCGTCTGGTCTACAGAGCAAGTTTCAGGACAGTCTCCAAAGCAATACAGAAAAACCCTGTCTCGACACACACACAAACACACACAAACACACACACACACACACACACACACACACACCTATCAAACCTTCAACAACTTAATTTGAAACTGAGTACTTGACATAAAACAAAGACAACTGCCTTATTTTAAGTCTTTTACTACTAAATACAAATCAGGAAATAAACACATGAAAAAGTTGTAAAAATCTAGAGGAGAAATAACAAGAAAGTCACTTAAGGGGCTGATTATGAAGGCAACATACATAAATGCAAGACTTAGGATTTGGTGAAGACTAGACTAGACTGGTGTAACTGTCTGTTACAGTTACAGTTTTCTGAAGGGCAGATGGCAGCATTGCCTTCACACTTAATCATGTATGTGATGTCATGCAACACAACATAGTTGACACTGGGTAGGGGGCTGAAGGCAGAAGGTAGTATTGTTGGACTGCATCCTCTAGTGCCAGCCTCTCTCACTCTGAGGAGAGTGTGCTCAAAGTTTAAGAAACAGGTTTTAAAAGAATGTAATTGATCCCTCTTTGA